GTCCCAACCCCCCTACTCCTTATGCAGCCCCTACCCCCTGCTCCCTCTGCAGCCCCTGCTCCCTCTGCAGCCCCTACACCCTGCTCCCCCTGCATCTCCTACCCCCTGCTCACTCTGCAGCCCCTGCTACCCTGCATCCCCTTCCAGCCTCTACCCCCTGCAGCCTCTATCCCCTGTTGCAGCCTTTACCCTCTGCAGCCCTAACCCCCCTGCTCCTTCTGCATCTCCTACCCCACTGAACCCTTCACAGCCCCGGCACCTACTACAGCTCTTGCCCCAGGCGTCCATTACAACCCTTATCCCCAGGCCCCCTCTACAGCCCTGTATCCCATGCACCCATTACAGCCCCTATACCCCGTGCACAGACTACAGCCCCTACACTCCCTGTACCCACTACAGCCACTATTACCCTCTGCACCCACTAAAGCTCTATTCCTCTTCCGCACCCACTACAGCCTGCATCTTCTAAAGCACCATTTGTACTCCTGCAATCACAACAGCCCCTGCACTTAGCTCATTTACAATCTGCACGCACTACAGCCTCTATTACCCCCCCTACAACCTCTACCACTTGTCACCCTTTACAGTCCCTCCTCTCTGCAGCCCCTTCCCCCCGTCCTCCCAGCACCCTCTGCAGTCCCTACCCCTTTGCATGCACAAGCATAAAGCAACACTATAGATACCAGAACAACTACAGCTTAATGTAGTTGTTCTGGTGAGTATAGCCTGCCCCTGATGGGGTTTACATTAAACACTGCCTTTTCAGTGAAAAAGTAGTATTTACATTGCTGCCTAGGAACACCGTGGTGCTTACTGTGTCAGTGTTGCAAAATGTGCAGCACTGGCATTCAGCACCTCCACGCTCTGCATAGAGACGCTAAACGCTTGTCATAGAGAAGCACTGATTAAATGCATCTCTATGAGGAGATGATGATTGGCACAGTGTAGCATTTTGCCATGTTTGCATGATCGCCTTCCAGTTCTTTCCCATAGTAAAGCATTGGATTAGCTGAGATCACCTAAACTGGTGAACTCCACCAAAGAGGCGGAGCAGGGGCTATCCAACCATGCGTTTTGTCAGTGCCGGAAAAAAGGTGAGTAAATTACCTTTTTAAGGTGGGCCTATAAACCTATAGTGTCAGGAATACACGTTTGTATTCCCGACACTATAGTGTTCCTTTAAGGTGTCTCGTAACATTTAACACTTGGTTTGTAATTTAAGACGCAAAATTTGGAGGCCTGCACACCTCATACAAACACATTGCCAGAATCCACAAATGCTCCCTTATACATATTGCCATGCTAGACAAACACACATACAACAAATACAAACCTATTTACCATACCAAATACAACCAAAAACATATATTTAGATATACATGTATGTACACATATCCTGACACTACACACAAAGACATACATATATTCATTTACAGCATTTACTTTACATGTACATACAATCAAAAACATGGTACACCTACACCCGCATGTTTATTGGTCTGCTGGGGGCCCACGTGCTAATTTTGTCCGGGGGTCTGGGCCGCTGTCAGTCCTTGCCTGATGTTCAACCTTGTCCATTCTGACTAACCTAGATCTTGAATATTGTAAGTTAGATATTCTATTTCGACAGTGAGTGTTTTGCCTCTAAGACCAAGATGTTTTTTTTTAATCTTATGCCTTCCTTAGAGAATTTTATCCATTATATAGCACTTACTACCTTTAAAATTCCCATTTTCCAATCTTGTACAATTCCATTGAGGGAATATGCTTTGTATTAATGGCATAACATTCCACTTTATACCATGCTTCTTTTTATGAGATATCAATTTGCAACGTATAAATATGTTTGATAATAATTGCCCAATAATAAAAAGGTCATCATCGGATATCCCAAACCACCTTTTTTTGCATTAATAACATCTTAGTCGACTAAATATTTCAAAACAGAAAAGAAAAACAAACCGGAACAGAAGTTCTTACAGAACATCAGTATATAGGTGCAAATGCTAGCCAATTATAGTGTCTGCCCCTGGTCAGGTGCACAACAGCAGGACAGTTCCAAATAGACCCCTCAAAGTTTAGGGGGGTTGTGATAAAACAACACAAAGATTTCCAAATACAAATACTCTCTTTTGTTGTCATTTCAGGATCCCTCATATTTTGATATGAACAGGAGGATTTACTAAATAAAATATTTATATTTTCTAAATATATCCTTACAAACGAATGCCAACTATGTATTTATTTATTATTTATTTATTTATCAAATATTTTACCAGGAAAGATACATTGAGATTTCTCTCATTTTCAAGTATGTCCTGGGTATGAAATGATATTGTTTATTGTATGCTTTTATGAGAAGACTTGGGTTTACAAGTAGTGTGTTTAAAACAGCAGCCACTGTTCAGTTACACCAGTTAGTAAATAGCAAGGTATAATGAACCGCAAGACACTGAGAAGTATTTGGAGATAATCATAAAATGATAGAGATTAATAGATAAGGTGGAAGAGATGGATACTTCTAAATGCTGAAATGTTGGCATAGACTGAAATAATAGTGCTGCAAGAATTCAGGAAACAAGACTTCAGGATCCAACAAATATTACTTTGTTGAATGCCTGTAATCAACTGCAGTGACTGCTCCTTTTAAGAAACTTTATCCAGAAAAGTTGAAAACAGTGCAAAATTTTTTTTAAAGGAAAAGGTTACTTTAAGTTCTGTAATGCATTTATTTTCCAGACTATACAGCATAGTCTGCAAAATGTATGCTTATCCAGTTGCTGGTGTAAGGGATGTGCATCCTCGTAGTTGTTTTTGTGGGCCTGATTATCCACAGAATATATCATGGTGGGGTGACCTGAAACCACCCTGTCTTTGTCTACTGAGGACATATTATATGTACCACATTCTATCCTGGTCCCTTTTATTGTTTGGATTTAATATGGACATTGAAGGAGCACAACATGAAGTGATGTGATAAGTAACATAGAATCTACTCACTCAAGTATAGGCACTGGCTTTTAAAGGTCAATTGAATTTAGAGTTCGGCATCCAGCGTGAGCGGACACATGGGGTGAGGTCTCCGATTCCTGGCAGAGCTGGGGGAGAAGCATGATAAAGTGTAGCAGTCGCTTGGTGCATCCCGTGGGATTCGAAGAATGAAGAACGTGTAGTGGAGTGCTGACAGGAGACCGGAGACCGGTAAATGGCAAAAGGAGACGGGGAGTCTGTAAGCCATTAAGCCGTTAAGCCTAAATTAAGCCTATATAAGCCTATTACCAAAAAAAAAAAAAAAAAAACAGCTGCAAGCTGTATGGCTCAAAAAGTACATTTTTAAACTTATGGCTAAAAGAGTAAAATAGCACAGACTTTTTGTAAAGCAAGTAAAGCCCAGAAAGTTAAAGGACCACTATAGTGCCAGGAAAACATACTCGTTTTCCTGGCACTATAGTGCCCTGAGGGTGCCCTCACCCTCAGGGTCCCCCTCCCGCCCGGCTCTGGAAAGGGGAAAGGGGTTAAAACTTACCTTTTTCCAGCACTGGGCGGAGAGCTCTCCTCCTCCGATCCTCCTCTTCTCCTCCCATGTGGCTGAATGCGCACGCGCGGCAAGAGCTGCGCGCGCATTCAGCCGGTCACATAGGAAAGCATTCATAATGCTTTCCTATGGACGCTGGCGTGCTCTCACTGTGAAAATCACGGTGAGAAGCACGCAAGCGCCTCTAGTGGCTGTCAATGAGACAGCCACTAGAGGAAATAGGGGAAGGCTTAACCCATTCATAAACATAGCAGTTTCTCTGAAACTGCTATGTTTATGAAAAAATGGGTTAACCCTAGCTGGACCTGGCACCCAGACCACTTCATTAAGCTGAAGTGGTCTGGGTGCCTAGAGTGGTCCTTTAATAAACCTGAAGGCTAAACTGATTAACAATTGTAGCAGTATGTAACATTGTAGCAACATTGTAGCAGGAAGCGGGAAGCTGCAAATTGAAACAAGTTGAAGCTGGTGATCTGAAGTGGAAGCTGCTGTAGGAAGCAAAAGGGAGAAAAAAAATAAAATATATATATATATTAAAAAGCCTCGGTAACTAACTGTTTCTAACTCCCTCTAACTTGCTTTAACTCTGCTCTAATACTAAGCTGAGAGGATGTCACTGAGGAATTGTCACTGAGGGGTTGAGATCCTGAGTTGTCGGTGAAGCTTAAAGACCCCAGTAATTCCCAAAATTGCAAGTTGATATCTGCTACCTTCTGTCATTTGCAAGCGGGTCTCGGGTATCTGCTATCTATTATCTGCTATCTACAATCCGCTATCTGACAACTGCTATATGTTGGCTGTTGTGAGCCGGAGCTGAAGTTGCTAATAAGCAGAGTTTAACATCTATGACCGCTAAATCTTGTGGCGGTCTGACCTCTAGAGAAGGCACAAAGAAAAGCGTGCAGTAGCTTATAAAATAATACACTGAACATTGTATACTGTATGCCGTTTGCTGAAGTGATATACCCTGCCCCACTGGGTTGAGTTAGGCTTAAGCCTTCATAAATTGGTGCAAGACTGTGTAAAACTAAGTGAAGGGAAGAGAAAGGGGAAAAAGGGGAAAAAGGAAAGGGGGAAAAAAAAGAGAGAAAAAAAAAAAAGAAAAAAAAGTGCCTCCATCTAAACAGACAAAACTGACGGTTTCAACAAGATATGCAAAAAAAGATTGGCAGCGACAAATACAGGAAGATGATGAGGCCATGGCCGTTGCTGGAGCAAGAGATGCTGAGGAGGAGTATGATCATATGCAAGATAATAAAGATGAACGGCATATTTCTAAGAAATTTTTAAACCAAGTTCTCCAAGATTTAAGGATAACCATAAAGGAAGATTTTGCCAATATTATAACCAGTATACACCAGGAGTAGTCATGTCCCGAACGGTTCGCCGAACGGTTTGCGAATGGTTCGCGAACGGTTCGCCACTGACTCATCATTGAGTAAACTTTGACCCTGTACCTCACAGTCAGCAGACACATTCCAGCCAATCAGCAGCAGACCCTCCCTCCCAGACCCTCCCACCTCCTGGACAGCTCACTAAGAATGCAGCTTCACAATGAATTTAATATGGATGCTGTCCAGGAGGTGGGAGGGTCTGGGAGGGAGGGTTTCCTGCTGATTGGCTGGAATGTGTCTGCTGACTGTGAGGTACAGGGTCAAAGTTTACTCAATGATGAGTCCGCGGCGAACCGTTCGGGACATCACTTACCAGGAGCTATCTGAATTGGGAGATCGCAATGATCACTTGGAGAAAAAAAAAATTGGATGACCTGAGTAAAGCAGATAATGAATTAGATGAGAAATTCATTAAATTGGAGGAGGAAAATAGAAAATTATGGCACAAAGTGGCGGACCTGGAGGACAGGTCACGCAGGAATAACGCAAGATTCAGAGGTGTGCAAGAATCAGTTGAGGCTAATAAAATTGTGGAGTACATTACAACACTTTGTACTATTTTGCTCCCATCGATGGATAAGAGCTGTTGGGGGATAGAAAGAGCCCACAGACTGCCAAAACCTGCAAGATTTACGTTGGATATACCACGGGATATTATTGTTTGTTTTTATCGTTATACTGAGAAGGAAGCTTTATTTTCTGCAATACGTAAGATATCAATATTACCCATTCCCTATGAAGCAGTAACAGTCTATACAGACCTCTCACTATGGCAAGACACCGGGAATTCTCTCAGTTAACCCAAGTATTACGCGATAAAAATATAGCTTATCCATGGGGGTACCCTACAAAAATCATAGTATGGAGGAATGGGAAGTCATTAGTCTAGAGGTTCACATACTTTTTCCACCTGCACTGTGAATGTTTACATGGTGTGTTCAATAAAAACATGGCAACATTTCATTCTTTGTGTGTTATTAGTTTAAGCAGACTGTGATTGTCTATTGTTGTGGCTTAGATGATGATCAGATCACATTTTATGACCAATTTGTGCAGAAATCCATATCATTCCAAAAGGGTTCACATACTTTTTCTTGCAACTGTATATTGAAATAAAAAAAATTGAATTTAGAGTTAAACTAAGATCTGTTAACAGCTGGCAACAAATGATCTTGAATGTATATATGTATCACATATCATATCACATATAATATTTTCAGTATCTGACAACTGATATTCCACATGGGGAAATTTAAATCCAATTTTAAAGATTTCTTTACAGGTATTTTCAGGCACGATGGCAGAAAAATGCATTTTTTTCAGTTCACAAATGGTTGATTTCCAAATAGGAGTTACCATGTAA